TAATGTTCAAAAATTCACAGGAAGAAAAAAGGTGACAGTAACTTCATCACATCAAAAACAAGATTTTGCCTGAATGTTATTATAAAGAAATAACATATTTGATTATTAATGTATTAACAGCAGCTAGAATTGTATTTGCTCAAAACTGGAAAAATGAGACAATTCCAATGGAAAAGGAGGGGATTAAGAAAATAATGGAATGTGCAGAAATGAGTAGGTTACATTAGCAATTAGAGAGCAAGAAGAAAAAGAGTATTATAAGATTTGGGATTTATTATATAGATGGTTAGAAAGTAGAGTAAGAAATTAAAGGATATTGTAATAATAATGACATTGTCAAGCATCCAGACAGTATCCATGATATCAATCATTCTGAGATGTTTCTTTTATACTTTTTCTTTTATTTTTCTTATGTGTATCCATTTATTCATAACTATGTTTCTACTTATACCTATTATCTTGTAAGCAATTGACAAATAAAAATAAATAAATAAATAAATATAAATAAATAAATAAATATCTTTCTGAATCTTGGATTTTTTAAAAGTGTGTTACTGAATACTTGTGAGGCAATTTTTTCTAGTCTCTCCTTCAAAGTTTTAAGCTATATCTGTTAGTTCTCCCTTTGGATACCAGAGTGCAGAGAGGTTACTTTGCTCTTACTTGCAATTATCCAAATCATATTGATTTCTTTTCGTCCTTCTGTTAGTACCCCAGAGAGTAAACTTTCAGAAAATTTAACAATAACACGTTGGAATATGTTTTGATGAAAATATCAGATTTAGAAACAATGTAAGATGGAATCTTGGTCAAAAGCTGGATGTATACATAGCTTTGGAGACATCTGAGGGTAGTTTCAAGATAAGCAGGACCTGTGTTTCCATCCCTTCACTGGACCCTGTCTGGATCTTCTCTTTTGCAGGATTTAGTTTCTTCCACCTCTTCTTCTCATTCTTTGCTAAAAAGCAGATGCCCCAGAAAAGGCTCACATCATGTTGCTGGTGCTCCTCCTTCTGCTGCTTCAGTGGCCACAGACAGACAGTGGGATGCGCAAAGCCAAATGCCTCCTGACTCTGGAGCAGGGTGAAGTGAACCCAAATAATCATTACAAGCCAGGAGATTATTCCATTAGTGGCATAATCTCTACCACAAAGGCTACGTTTCATTCATTAAGCTTCAGTGGAAGCCCTTCAAGAAAATTCTCTTCGTAAGTCAATCTTTCCTACATAGCATTACAGCCACTCCATTAACCCCTTGATCTGTTATTTTTTTCTAACTTACTCTGATTCTACCTTTGGGTCCCAGTTGCAAACTGCAAACGACAACGCTCACTTTGAGCTGTCAAGTGTCAGAACTCAATCAATGTTTGCCCTCCCTCCATTTTCCTTCCCATCCTATGGCCAGATCTAGAATGTAGACACAGAGGAACCAACTGATGATGCTATTTTTTTTTCTGCATAGAACATAAGATATTTTCTAAAGGGCCTGTAGGCCAGACAAGGAACAATGGATGGAAACTGAACAGGGAGAGATTTAACCTGAAAATAAGGAGAAACTTTCTGACAGAGAGAACAATCAACCAATGGAACAGAAATTGCCCTCAGAAGTTGTGGGAGTGCCATCACTTGAGACTTTCAAGAAGAGATTGGACTGCCATTTGCCAGAAATGGTGTAGGGTCTCCCACTTGGGCAGGGGGTTGGACTAGATGACCTACAAGGTCCCTTCCAACTCTGGTTATCTGTTATCTGCCTTCAAGTTCATGTCAAGGTCCTAAAAATCTTTAAATGAAATTATTATCTCTGTTATATTATTTGGTTGCTTGGTTGTTTCCTTCCTTCCTTTATTTATTTATTTTATTTTGTCAAGCATGTATTAGAAAACAAGTATAAGTATAAAGATAACATATAAACATGTAAGTATAAACATATAAGTATATACATAATAAATGATTATGAATAAATGGGAACAGTAGGACAGGGATGGTAGGCACACTGGTGCACTTATGCACACCCCTTACAGACCTCTTAGGAATAGGGTGAGGTCCACGATAGACAGTTTGAGGTTAAAAGTTTTATAGGGTTGAGGATATAACAACAGGTAGGGCGTTCCAGGTGTGGACCACTCTGTTGCTGAAGTCGTATTTTCTGCAATCAAGTTTGGAGCAATTTACTTTGAGTTTGTATCTATTGTTTGCCCGTGTATTATTGTGGTTGAAGCTGAAGTAGTCATTGACAGGTAGGATGTTGAAGCAGACAATTTTGTGTACTAAGCTGAAATCAGACCATAGGTGGCATAGTTCTAGGCTGTCCAGGTCCAAAATTTCTTCCTGCCTGCCTGCCTGGCTTCTTTCTATTCATAAGCTGTTTGGCTCTGGGTGGCTTACAATTAAAAGTATATTAAAAAATAGAAAACAGGGGGAAATCATGCCCTGTCCCCAATAAAACATAAACACCAACAAACTTCCATCCATCTGAGGTTCAAGCTTCACTCTGCCTCAGAGTTAGGAAAAACAACCGGGTCTTTCAAAGCTTCTAAATGTCATTCATGCAGGAATCTTTTTTCAGTGAAACTCCTGGAAAAATTCAACGAATACTTGTAATATCTAGAATATACAAGAGCTACTAATCAATACTTTCTTTTAGCTATATGGGCATATCATTCACACACATTAAGATTTAGGCAACCACTCTCAAATATGCAATAAAACCCTGAAAACCAAGGCATGAATTTGAAGTAGTAACCAACTGTGAGAGTGCCTGTGAAATAAGGTATGATGCCTTTTTTAAAATTATTTTTATTCTTTTTCTATGGTAATAGTTTGGACCATTGCAAACAGTTTGGAGGAATAATGGTGATTGAATGGGTTAAAAGTATTGTGGAAGGATAGTTAAATGTTACTTTCATCATTATGTTAATTCCTGCAGACGTGGAAGAAAACGTTTTTGGAAATTTCTGCCCTTCCTTTTTGCAACCGAGGACATCAACCAGAATGGCCATCTCTTACCCAACATCACCCTGGGTTATAATATCTATGAAAATTTTTTCAAGGTAGAAATGACGCCGAATGCTTTGCTGGATTTGCTTTCAGACGGAGAGGCCAATGCTCCCAACTACAGGTGTGGAAGGCAAAGAAACACAGTGGTTGTGTTGGAAGAAGCTGAGACGGGCATTTCCATTCACATCTCAACCATGTTGGGCACCTACAAAATTCCACAGGTGTGTCTTTTGGGGAAGACAGTTTTCAGTCATGCCACAAATGGAAAGCAGAGTTTTATAATGGAAATGAGAGAAATTCTGTTTTGCTTGTTAAATTTGAACTACCATCATCTTCCATTCCTTTCAGATCAGTTACAGTTTTGCTTCTAAGATCCTGAGAGATAAAATTCTGTTTCCTTTTTTCAATCCAATGCTACCTGCTCAAGGTGTCCAGTACCCAGGAATGGTCCAGCTGCTCCTCCATTTCAAGTGGACCTTGGTTGGTCTGATTGCTCCAGAAACTGACCAGGGGGAGAGGTTCATGAGGATAATGTCTTCTTTGATGTTAAGGAATGGCATTTGTGCAGTTATACATAAAATCTTTCCATTAAATGTGCTTAATATAATTTTTATACTTGAAGAATATTTCAAATGGAGACATGTCAATGTCTTTGTTTATGGTTCAGAGACTAGTTCATTCCATGTAGGAATGATGATTACACAAAAAGCATTTCAAAGAATTCAAGAACCTATTGCAGGAAAAGTCTGGATCACCGCAGCTCACTGGGATCTGAGTCCTGAATTGATGTATAATAACTTTTCCTTAAAATATTTCAGTGCCATTTTTTCCTTTCTGATACGGAAAAGGAAATGGGCAAATTACGATGCTTTACATCTCTTTCACTCATCCCTAAGTAACTTTATGAAGAAGACCTTTACATGTTCATCCATGAAGGATGACATTTCAGTGAACATTTGGAGGCGATGCAGACAGAGAGAAGACCTGATGGCTCTGAGGAAAGAGGAGATTGATCGAGTCCTGGCTCTGGATAGCTATTTCATTTACAACACCATTTGGGCTGTGGGAAGGATCTTAAATTCAGCTTATATATCCTTATTCAAGAGAACAGTAATGAACAGAGGTATGAAGGTCAAAGTTCCAAAGCTAAAGGCTTGGCAGGTATTTTTCTTTTCCATCAGACATGTTTCCTCTGCAGGTGGGACTCTGTTTGTTAAGGGGATGCTTTAGTTACATTTTAAATTAAATTATCCTAAAATTCAAATTTAACCTAAGTCCAACTTTCCATTCACTTCTTCTCATTTTCATTTCCTTTTATCATTGTTTTTTTGCAATATTTCTGCTTTTAATTGTTGTCATAATAAATACTTCAACCTCTGAGTTGTTCAGTAATGCTTCAGATAACAGATAATCAGAGTTGGAAGGGACCTTGTAGGTCCCTTGTAGATTCCAACCCCCTGCCCAAGCAGGAAACTCTACACCATTTCTGGCAAATGGCAATCCAATCTCCTCTTGAAAGTCTCAAGTGATGATGCTCCCACAACTTTCAAGGGCTTCTCTTTCATTTGGCCATTTCATTGGCCAAAATATTATACTGTGTTCAGGCCTCTTTTCTTGGCATTACTCTCTCCTGTATCTCAGAGAACTCCATTCAATCCATCCAATAGGCTGGACAATCCTAATACTTCTGCCCAGCAATTCCTATCAATGGGCTTCCCTGCCATTCAATGACTTCCTTTACCTGGAGCCTCTCTCCTTTCCTTGGCTATCAGCAACTTTATTCTTTTGCCAAAGTTCTCATATTTCAGTAGAGTTGGAGAGAGTAGGATTGGCAGGTCTAAGCAAGTGGCAGCACATGGCCAATCTTCACTGGGCTGGGAAGTTTAGCTGGTTGAAGCATATTTGTTAACAATTAATTAGAATTTGATGCTAATGATGAACAAAGTGGTCAAATATTGAGCAGTGGCAGTTTGGAGAGCCAGCACAAGGAATATTTGACATTCCTATGCTGGGCAATGCATTTTTTTAAAAATCCCCTGTCTATGATAATTTAATCTTTTTCTCAATGTATTGTACAAAAGGAAGGCAAACAATTCACTTTATGTAGTGGTCCATTATAGGGAAGCACAGAAAAAGAAAAGCAGCCAAAATGTTAGAGGTTTCCAAAGACTGAGAGCAATTTACAAGAAAAACCATTCATGTAGAAAGCAGCATACACAACCTATATACTGTCGTGCTCCTTCTAGTACATATGGCATGATTGTATATGGGAGTTCTTCTCTGCTTTCAGCAGTTTTGACCAGTTAACTGGAGCAGTATTAAAGCTTTTGTCAGAGTTCCAACGGATGCCCTAATTAATTCATGAGCCTTGAGCCAAGTTTCAAAAGAAATCCAATTATTTATTAGGAGCAACATGTCAGCACTTCCCAAGTGCAGTCGGCTCTGCCCCATGTAATTTACTGCCCACCTATGACCCTATTTCCCCCTCCTCCTGGGGTGTTACATTATCCAATGGAGCACTTTTGCGGGCTGTAGAAAACATACCACTCCAGGTTGCCCTAGTAACTTGGGATAAAATCTGGAGAAAGGTATGTGTGGAATGTGCTTCTGGTCATAACATCTGAGCTTCTCCACCAGTTCTCCCCTCTCCTACCTATGGAAACTCAAGAGCAGACCAGGAATGCTTTACAAGTTGACAGCTTTACTAAGAAGGAGCCAACCCGTATTTATACTTTATATCATGGGAGACAATCAGATAATGTTCTCTAATCACTGAAAGGAAGGATTTTAGCAAGAAAAAAGATATTGCGGACCTTTAGATCCTCAGTCTTACTAAGATAGGATAAGCTAAATATGATCCACCTCACTTGGTCAATTAATGATACAACAAAAAAGAAAAATCACACAATACTCCTAAAGTTAAAGAAAAATCTGAATGGCAGATTTTTTCAAGGTTAATAATTTTAGGTGAAAAAAAGAAGTAGTTGTTTGCTCTGAAAGGAGTTGTTTATTTATATTACCCATCTCACTGTGCACAAGCATTGCTGTGTTAAAGCAGTGGGAAATGGGACATGACCAGATGTCGAAACTCCTATCTTTTGCAATCACAGTACTAATCTACAGCTGTTGTTCCTGTGCTTATTGATACTCTCCTAACCAAGTGGGAAACTGATAATAGAACCTGGTTTTGAACTGAAAGAGAGAAATATTCAGACCCATGGATCTTTTCAAAGAACTGTCGGTGCCCTTTCTAAATTCTTCCTTTCCTTTCCAGCTTCACTCCTTTCTTCAAAGCTCTCAGTTTCACAATAATTCCATAGAAGGGGTATATTTGGATGAGAAAGGAGATCTTACAGCTGATTTGGACATTGTGAGCTGGGTCATTTTTCCCAATACATCTGTCAAGAGAGTGAAATCTGGGAGAGTAGAAAAACAAACATCTCAGAATGTTAAAGTTATCATCGAGCAGAAGAGTATCCCACAGGTGGAAATGTTGAACAAGGTGGGACGCCAAGATGGCAGGAATGGCCAACACTCCTGAAGAAAGGTTCAAGATACAGGGGGATCGTGACACCCTGGAACATTGGGGCCTATCAAAAAAAATGAAATTTAGTGTAAAGAATGGAAAGGTTTCACATTTAGGCAACAAAAACCGAATGCACAGGTAGAGAATAGAAGATGGTACCTGGCTCAACAGTAGCAACTGCAAGAGGGATCTTGGAGTCCTAGTAGACAGTCACTTAAATATGAGTCAGAAGTGTGCTGTAGCTTCCAAAAAAGCCAACAAAGTCCTAGGCTGCATTAATAGAGGGAAGGAATCAAGATCACACGAAGTTCTAATACTGCTTTACAAAGCCTTAGTAAGACCACACTTGGAATACTGCATACAATTCTGGTCACCACAATATAAAAAAGATGTTGAGAGTCTGGAAAGAGTACAGAGAAGAGCAACAAGAATGATTAGAGAGCTGTGGGATATATATACGAAGAACAGTTACAGAAATTATTTTCTTTTTCTTTTCTCCTCTTGCCTTCTTTATAATGCCTTGGTAAGACCAAACCTAGAACGTTGCATGCAGTTTTGGTCACCACAATATAAAGAAGAAAGAGTGCAGAGAAAAGCAACAAAGATGATTAGGACTGAAGGCTAACACATATGAAGAACAGTTGCAGGAATTGGGTACGCCTAGTTTAATGAAAAGAAGGCCTGGGAGGGACATGATAACAGTGTTCCAATATCTCAGGGGTTGCCACGAAGCAGAAGGAGTCAACCCAGAGGTGGTATTCAGCAGGTTCTGACCAGTTCTGGAGAACCAATAGTGGAAATTTTGAGTAGTTCGGAGAACCGGCAAATCCCACCTCTGACTGGCCCCGCCCCCATCTATTCTCTGCCTCATGAGTCCCAGCTGATTGGCTGGGTCTTCTTTGGTTGCCATGCACAGGAGAATGGAGCTGGAAAGCAGGTCAGTTGGGTGGGGAGAGAATGTGGATTTTACAGTATCCTTCCCCTGCCACATCCACCAAGCCACACCATGCCCACATAACCAGTAGTAAAAAAAATAGAATCCCACCACTGGATCAACCTATTTTCCAAAGCCCCTGAGGACAGGACAAGAAGCCATGGGTGGAAACTAATCAAGGAGAGAACCAGCTTAGAATAAGGAGAAATTTCCTGACAGTTAGAATAATTAATCAGTGGAATAACTTGCCTCCAGAAGTTGTAAATGCTCCAACACTGGACATTTTTAAGAAGAGGTTTGTCTGAAATGGTATAGGGTTCCCTGCCTGTGCAGGGAATTGGACTAACAGACCTCCAAGGTCCCTTCTAACTCTGTTATACTGTTAATATTTATTTTATTCCACAGAAGATGGCCACAAAAGGTTACACTTTTGGGATAGGTGAGGGGATTGTTTTCAATGAATCTTCCTGACAGTTGATCAGGTTTTTCTAAAGTGAAAAGCTCTGTAGTGGATACCACTTTTTTTGCATTGGCCATGAAAAATATACTCCTCTGATCAATTTTTTATTCCAACATACTAACCCATTCACTCTTTTCACAAAATAAAAATAAATGATGAATCATTTCTTAAAGAGACACAAATATTGTTTACACTTAATGAAAGTCACAGAAATTCCCTAGCTTCATTATGCTGAAATTAAAAATACCTGCATGCATGCAGGTTAATGAAACAAAGTTAAGGGAGTAAAATAGGGTATCAAAATTATTCACGAAAGACTAATTAACTTTTAATTTCTATTTGAATGTGTTCATTTTTAGTTTCTTCAGAGAGTTCTTAATTAGAGAAGTGATTATATGTTTCTATAATTTTATACATTACTTTGACTTTAAACAAAGTATTGGTCAATAAATTATTTTTGTATCAGTGTTCTTACAATTAATTGGCAAAGCAGAAATTAATATTGTAGTCAATAACACTGAAAAGAAACATGTAAGTGCCCGTGAAAATTTAAGAATATATATATATATATATAGGGGCGTGTGTGTGTGTGTGTGTGGTATTCAGCTTTGTTTGGGTATTTTCCCACGTCATTATAGTTATGCTTTTAAAGTTGTAGCAACGTTTCGGCAGAATCTCATCTGCCATCATCAGGTTTCTGTATAGTGTTCGTCTGTGAGTCAGACTTCCACAGCCATTTCTGTTTTAAATTTGCGGCTAGCCTACTGCTGGTTGGAAGTCTTGGTCTGTGTTTATTGGTCTTGGAGTTTGCTGTGTTCTGCTTGATTGGTGTTTCTAATATCTTCTGTCTGTTTTGTAATGTTTTTTGTCTTGATTGACTGGCAACATTGTATTTCCTTTTAGTGCTTTTAGTGCTGCTTCGCTCCGAGTAAACGGATGGCTATCATTTATTAGGAAGCTAGGTTTCATCTGCATGCCTGGTTGGGGTGTGTTTGAGCTGGAGGTATTGGGGGGGGTCTCTTTGTGCCCAGGTGTTTGCTTGGCTTGTGGTGTGGAGATACCCGTGAAAACTTAAGAATGTATGTATGTATGTATGTATGTACATTGTGGCTCTGATTCCCGAGCCTGTGCTGTTAGAGGAAGAGGACTCGGAAGATGAGGAGGAGGAAATGGGAATGCCTTCCTCCCCAGGACCTTTCTGCAGGAATTTATTTCTGAATTTCGGCTTGTATGTCTGGACTCCAACTGGAATGACACAGCTTTAATGGACGCCTTCCAGGATGGCCTGTCAGTTGAGCTGCAGGATGAGTTAGTTCAAGCGGAACCAGCCCCAACCCTCGACGCTCTGGTGGTGCAATGCTTGCGCATCGACGCATGACTCCAATGGCAAAAGACCCATCGCACCATCCAGGAGCAGCCATCCACATCTGTACCGCAGCGCCCTGTGCAACCAGCACCCCAGGTCACCCAACATGTCGTGGCAATGGCCGAGGAACCAATGGAGTTGGTCAGACCTCGACTGATGGCCCAGGAGCGAACACGGAGATGCCAAGGAGGTTTGTGCTTGTATGGGGGGGGGGGGGGGGCAGGACATTTAGCTATTTCTTGTCCTATAAAGTGAAGGGGGGCACTCAAGCCTGTGCCTGAATCTCAGCCTGATCAGTCGGGAAACGGGGCAGGCCCAACCTAGGGGAAACCCTAGGCCGGGCACATATCAAACACCCACTTGAATTAGCGGAGGTTGACTCTGGGCCCCCTCGGCATCTGCTTTTGGACACTCGGGTTTTCTTGGCTAACCAGTCAGAAGGGATTTCAGCGACTGCACTGGTGGACTTGGGGGCCATGACTAACTTTATGGACCAGGCCTTTGCTGCCCATTTTGATGTCCCCTTGGTTCCGGTAGAGACTATTGATGGGCGGGAACTTATTGCAGGACCCATTAAATTCACTACCCAGCCTTTGCGCCTGGTCATTGGAGACCATGAGGAGGCAATCCACTTTTATGTCACCGCGGACCTCCATTTCCCATTAGTCCTCCGCATGGCTTGGTTTCAGATTCATGATCCTCAGGTGGCATGGTTGTGGAACGCCATTTCTTTTCCAAGTTTGCAGTGTGTGGACCACTTCCGCCACACCTGTGCTGGCCAGGACATCACCACCCTTGCCGTCTCCATACCTTCTGAACTGTCGGACTTCTCGGATGTGTTCAGTGAGAAGGAGGCGGACCGGTTACCCCCACATCGGCCCTATGATTGTCCAGTGGACCTTCTGTCCAATGTACCACGGCCAAAGTGACATTTGTACTCCATGTCCGGGCCCGAGCTGGCCACCCTATGGGACTTTTTGGACAAAAACTTTGCCCAAGGGTTCATCTGGCCTTCGTCGTCCCCTCTCTCAGCCCCAGTTCTCTTTGTCAAAAAGACGGGAGACTTATGCTTGTGCTGCGATTACCGTCGGTTAAATGCCATCACGGTGCGGAATAACTACCCCTTGCCGCTCATTCCAGAGTTGTTGGAGAGGTTGCGGGAGGCCACTATCTTCACCAAGCTCAATCTTCGAGGGGCCTACAACCTGGTGTGGATGTGAGAGGGGGACAAATGGAAGACAGCATTTGGCACCCGATACAGCCATTTTGAGTACACTGTGATGCCGTTTGGGTTGACCAGCGCCCCCACAGTCTTCCAGCACCTGATGAATTACGTGTTTCGGGACATGTTAGATAGCTTCATGGTGGTGTACCTGAACGATATTCTGATCTATTCCAGGTCCAGGGACAGCCACCTTCAACCCATTTGTCTGGTCTTGCAACGCCTTCAGGAGCACCAACTTTATGCGAAGCTGGAGAAATGTCTCTTGTTCCAGACTTCCATAGACTTCCTTGGGCACATCATCTCTCCCAAAGGCATCGCCATGGACCCGCGTAAAGTGGAGGCCTTGTGTAGTTGGGAGCCCCCTTGTCATGTGAAGGACGTTCAACACCTATTGGGGTTTGCTAACTATTACCAGACCTTCATCCCAGGTTTTGCCAAGCTGACAGGTCCAATAACCCAGCTCCTTCAAAAGAAGGTCCCGTTCCAGTGGGGACCCCCACAGCAACAGGCTTTTGAGGCCCTCAAGAAGGCCTTCATCACAGAACCCAGGACGAGGCACCCTGATCTGCGTCGTCCTTTTGTGGTGGAGACAGATGCGTCCAACGTGGCAATTGGGGCTGTGTTGTTGCAAGCCCCAGTGGATAGCATCACTCTTTTTCCCTGCGCTTACTATTCCCATTAACTCCCTCCTTCCGAACATAATTACACCATCTGGGAAAAAGAGTTGCTGGCTATCAAGTCTGCATTTGTCAGTGTGTGCTCCCTTCAAAATCCAAGAAAGAAATACCCAGACTCCATGGATCAGAGCAAAGTTATTCTTTTACTGGAAATTAAAGAGGAAGCTACAGATGGAATTCCGAAACTGAGAATTTGGCGCGCAGATCACATATACAAAGGAATGGAATTGTTCCCACCCCCCAAAGTCCAGAAGTCTCTTCCAATTAAAAGTTCTGAATATGATCATGTGGGCATCTTCAGGTGGTGATGAGGC